CAAACCCCTTGTGCATGTTGTTCATTGAAGCTATAAGGACAATCTTTTCCTGCTTTGTACTCTAAAATGTCATTTGCTGATTTTTAAACAAAGAACTCTTGCACAACAACAAATCTGTGTGAGCAGGGTTCCAGGCTGCAGCGCTTGTATTTCAGCAGAACGAACGTTAACTTAGCCCTTGGCTTTCCAAACAGGCTGCTGTGCCTGCCAGCCAGGAAGCTGATGCCTGTGCCCCTGTGTAATGTATGGAGAGGAGGGCTACACACACACACACACACACACACACACACACACACACACGGCAGAGGTCATTGAGTCTCCTGCTCTATCATACACCACCTTATTCCTTTAAGATGGGGTCTCTCAATGAGGCTGGAGCAAGGCCAGCAGCCAGCAAGTCCCATGAATTCTCCTGTCACCTGGCTACATCCCAGTGTAGGTGCTGGGACCTGGACTCAGTCCTCACGCTTATACAGCACGCTCTCTTCCCCAGGAAGTACGGCTTCTCTGCCCCTGTGCTATTGATAATGAGCTAGTACAATTCTTACAGGGGCAACACGTCATGTGGGAAGTCAATCATTTAGCAGCATCAGCGGTCTCTACCTACTAAATGTCAATTGCATTTGAATCAGAACAACTGAAACTCCAGATGTTGCCATGAGCCAGGATGGAGTGGAACAGCCCCAGGCTGGAGCCTGTTCCAGTCACATGGCAACTGGTAGCTGCTGCAGCAAATGACCCAAGCTCCTGTCTCACAGCTGGGGAGCAGGGTTCTAAGGGCTCCACAACCAACAGCCTGGTGTCAAGGGTTTATATGCCTGCTTCCTTCCTTTCTTGTCTTCCCAGACTTCTTTCCTCTCCTCCTTTCTCCTCATCCTTCTATCCTTCTTCCTCCCTCCTTCCTTCCCAGTGGTGAGAATGGAGTTCTAATCCTTATATTTTTGGTTGTGAGCCTAGCCTTTAACGGCTGAGCCATCTCTCCAGCCCTGGAGTTCTAATCCTGAGCTAACATCTAACCCTAAATATTCCTGCTTCCTTGATCATGTCTCCTTCCTTTCTCTCTCTCTCTCTCTCTCTCTCTCTCTCTCTCTCTCTCTCTCTCTCTCTCTTCCTTTCTCTATCTATCTATCTATCTATCTATCTATCTATCTATCTATCTATCTATCTATCATTTTTGTTGTTGCTGTTGTTTTTGAGACAGGGTCTCTCTGTGTAGTTCTGGTTTTCCTGGAACTTGCTCTATAGACCAGACTGGCCTCAAACTCAGGGGTCCACCTGCCTCTGCCTCCAAAGTGCTGAGACTAAAGGTGTGTGTGACTAGGCCTGGCTTCTACCTCTTCTTTATAAGGACCCTGCAGTATAATAAAGAAGACGCAGGACAATGTCCCCACTACTCATCTCTCAGGAGGCCCTCTTGCTATATAAGGCCATATGTACTCAGATTCCCAGGGTGAGGATATGGACATTTTTAGAGGGGTTGTTATTGTTGGGCCCCTGGGTGTAATGGGACCTGGGAAGAAGAAGTGCAGGGTGGGGGTGACAAGGAGAGTGGGGATGGTCAGGATGGAACAGCTGCTGGGTATTTTCCAGCACCAATCCTATGCTAGGCATGGTGGGGCTGGGGGCTGGTCATCCCTACTGTTTGCTATCTGCTGATTTTCAGGAAAGGAGGCCCTCTGGGGGAGGTGAGAGTGGTGAGCCCGATCCTGAAGGGGACAGACAGCTCTGGGCCCTGTGGACAAGGCACTCCAAGCAGCAGAACCTGTGGAGGTGTGAGGTCAGGGAGAAGGCAAACTCATGTGGAAGCTGAATGATCTGGGCCTGGAAAGTGGGAGACAAGCAATCTGATGGAGGAAGCCAGTGTGGACGTCCTGGTCCTTTCACTCTGACACAAAGCACTGTTGCTCTTAATAGTTAACAGTTTGTCTGCGAGTCCTTAGTGCATGCCGAGGCTCTGGATATTAACGAGACCCTCATTTGATGCTTCACTTCTGGTTCCTGATCCTACCCCCTTCCTCCACTCATAGAACAAAGCAGAAGAATGTCTGAGTCACCGCAGGTACTACAGAGTAAAGGTGCCATAGGGGCAGGGGGTCCAGGCACAGGCCACCATAGCCTCCTCCATTAAGTCTCTTGTTCAGGACAAGGTCCACTCCTAAAAGCAGAACTCCGCTGCCAAGCCCTGGCCAAGACATACACAGCGCAGCCTATCTTGAGCTTCCAATTATGGCTCTCCCCGTGGTTTGTTTTTCTTCTGAGACAGGGTCCTTCGTAGTGAGGCTGGCCTACAGTCCCCTATGAAGGAGACTGACTTTGAACTTCTGATTCTTCTGCCTCTGTCTCCTGGATTCTGGGATTAATGGGCATGCACCACCATACTTGGTTTTATCAGGGCTAAGGGCTTTGTGCCTGTTTGGCAAGCACTCTACCAACTGGGCTACCTCCCTAGGCCTGTATTTTTTTTTTTTGTTTTTGTTTTCTGTTCCAAAGAAACTGAGAAATGAGCCCAGTACTCAAGACATCATGGACAAGCTGGGTGCTGCCTAGCACAGCCTCGATTGGCCCGGCCAGTGACCCTGTCTCCCAGCATCTGCTGCACCTTGTGAGACCATGTGATAACATTCGGGCCAACGAAAGGTAGTCTAAATAACTTTGCACCGTATCCAGGCCCACTCCTGCTGCTCACTCACTTCTGTACCATTACAGAGCGCCTGCTGTATACCTTCTCTGAGCTTCAGGGAGGACACTGGCTCCCTCCCCACACAGAATTCTAGCACACAGGAATTGCACAATTGCACAGCACACTTGATTCCATCAGGCACCTGTCCCAAGCTCTTCTCCTTATGCAATCTATCACCAACTTGACTCCTGGCCAAGCGATACACTATTCTATCAGATCTAAGAATATAGCCCCTCCTCAGCACTGCCTCCAACTCCCAGGTGGCAGGCGAGAAAGCTGAGGGACAGAGAGATTTAGCGACTTGCCTATAATCACACAGCCAGAAAGCTGGGAAGTTGGGTTTAAAACCAATGCTGGCCAGATTCAGGGACTTTTGATGTACTCCTTCCTCATTTCCTCAATCAGCAAACCCAGCAGCAGCTAGCAGCCACCCCTGGGGAAAAAAAAAATGCAAGCTGGGACCCTCACTCCAGACCTACTAAATGAAACTCCAGTGTGGTCCAGCAATCAGAGGCAAGCGAGCCCTGCAGAGGGCCAATGATGTGCCCAGTGGTTAGATTCACAGCCTACACTCACCTCCGACTCTCCAGCCTGAGAAATGCTTCTCTGCGCTTTACTACCGTACTGTGTTAGTGACTCACCCTTCCCTTCCCCTGGAGCCTCGTAGTCTGGACCTATAGGTCCTGGCTGCAAGATTTTAATCAAATACTCTTTAATTCACGAATGTATGTATGTGTTGTGCGTGCGTGTGTGTGCGCAGGTGACTGTGGAAGCCAGAGGAGAGCACTGGATCCCCTGGAGATGGTGCCACAGATGTGTGGTGAAGGCGACCTAGTCCTCAAGGTCCAGCAGCTCCTCCCCCTTCATTTCAGGGGCAAGTGCTCTCAACCTGAGCCAGCCGTGCTCCCCTCCCCCACACAGGCCCTCTCCAAGCTTTAGGGCTCAAACCCAAGGTCATCCCAGGTGTAGACCCTATGGTAACCTGGGATCCTCCTGGGTTCAACTGATTCCTACAGCTGCCTCGACGGGAGGCCTCATCTCCACCTGAAGCCTTCCTTCTTTACAGTCTGTCCGGTTGTTACTACTTGGTTTCTCTGCCCGGATCCTGACGTTTTTCTCCTTCACAACAGGAATTAGAGCAGAAATGGAGCCTGAGCCTCGATCCTACTGTGCACCCCCAAGTTCCTCCATGCAGTTCCCAAGTGGGAATTAACAGCCGCCAGCCCGGTGAAGTCAAGACCTTCTGGTTCTTAGTCTGACCAGGGCAAGATAAGAGGCTGAAAAATATCCTGTGTGTGGACTGCGTGGCAGAGCCATTGAGGAAAGGCACAGGCAAGGCGCTCAGACTCTAAGAACTGAGTGGGGCCCCCTTCTTTGGAACAAAGACCCCCAGGATAAATGGGAGCGCCCCACCACCACCACCACACACACACACACAACTACCGCCTGCCTTCCTCTCTGAGGATCTCTTGGCCCTGCAGAGAAAGAACAGTGTTTAAAGTCGAGCTTTGAAGACAGCCTGGGCCCTCTCCTTTCTCCACATAGCTCAAACGCCACCTCCTCGGGAAGTCTTCCCAAAACTTCATTTTTAATCCCCTACACGCACTCTACTTTCCCCACCTAGCCTTTGGAGGTCTAGAGACCTCTCCGGACCTCGGTTTTCTCCTCCGTAAAATCAGCTTTCTTAGTTCTGTGGCCCCGAGACAGGGAAGTGCCCCATCACGGAGGAACCATAAATACGTCCCCAGGGAACAGCATCCCTAAGTCAGATCTCACTCCTCCGCAACACACGCGATCGGTCACACTCAGGGCGCAACTAGGCAGGTTTCCCCCAACCTCCCTGGCGAACACTAGCTAATCTTGGCGGGGCTTACCCGGGAGGTCCCCGCCCCCGCGCCACCAACTGCATATTAACGTTCAGCCCCTTGGCACACACGTCTCCAACGCCTGTCAACACCCCAACTCCTCCAACCAGCAAGGACATACACTGCACAAACCTGGACGTTCTGGGAATTGAGAACTGCACAGGCCTCCAGTGTAGGGAAACGGGTGAGCGGAATGCCGCTTGGGTGCTTCAGGGAACAGGTGGGCTCCCCGGGACATAGAGGAGACCAGGGTTGAGGCCCGCATGCACTGCCTGGTGCAGCCAGAACGGCGCCCGTCACTTGCCAGTCTTTCACCCCTTACTTTACAGGCGCAAACACTGCGCCCCAAAGGAGCTTGGCAACCAGAGAAGCTCCCCAATCGCCTTTCGGGCGCCGCTACAGAGGGGCGCCCAGGCCCGGCTCCCCATCCAGCTCCGCACCACAGCGTCACCTACCTCCCACAGGGGGACAGGCGCGGCAGCCGCTGCCCACGGTCGCAAGGATCCCGAGTAGCTTGCAGAGACTCGCGGCCGGGCGCCCAGAGTGCAGGGCTGTGGATGATCCCGGGGCACGAGCGCAGGAACTCCGGGAGTCGCAGTGGGACGCGTGGAGACGTCCAAGCTCAGGAGCGGAGCGCGAGCTGGAGCTAGGGATGGGGCTGCAGCTGGAAGTGGGGCTGGAGCCGGAGCAAGGACCCGAGTAGGGGCGGGGCTGACGCACGGGCCGCACGCCAGGGCTCACGTGACCGCCTCGGGGTGGCCACCACCTCCCTTTAGCTGCCGCTAGTCTCCTGGCTCCCCGCCTGTTAAACGCTTCCCGAGAGTCTGGGTCTAAAGCCGGTTGGTTTCTCAGCTGTGTGAGTCTCTTTGTCTTTCAGGCCCAGGACGTGGCTCCGTGGCAGAGTGTGCCGAGCATAACCTAAAATACTTTTATCAGATAATCTTTGGGTTTTCTGACTTCTGCTTTGAAGAAACTTCAGACACTTCACAAGGCTGGGGGGGGGGGGGGAAGAAGGGGGAGAAACAAAAATTTTGTTGAAAAATGCCACGATGAATCCAAATGTGTGGTCGGATAATTCGGGATCCTTGCGACCGTGGACAGCGGTGGTTTTGTCTCTGTGTATGCCTAAGAATTTCTGATCCTCCGGAACTGTAGTTACAAGACAGCTGTGAGCTGCAGTGTGGATGCTGGGAATCAAACCCAGGTCCTCTGGAAGCTCAGCCAGTACTCTTAACTGCTAAGCCATCTCTCCACCCATCCGACATACACTTATTTTGTGATTTGAGACACCCTGGCCTCTATGTCCCAGTAAACTTCCTGCCCCTGTGTGCCGAGCTGCCGTCTGGATAAACCTTCTGTCTTTGTTAATCACTTAGTGTGTGCTGTTTAGATTTGTCTATTCAACACAAACTTGCTTCTTCTGAAAAGAGGAGCCCGCAACTGAGAAAATACCTGCACCGGATGGCCTGTAGATCATTTTCTTAAATGATTGATTTGGAAGGGCCCGGTTCTTTTGGGCAGTGTTACCCCTAGGCAGGTGGTCCTGGTGCTTTAAGAAAGCAGGCTGAGCAAGCCTGGCAGAGCACTGGGCGGCATTCCTCTGTGGCCTCTGCTTCAGTTCCTGCCTCCAGGTTCCTGCCCTGACTTCCCTTCATGATGGACTGTTTGCTGTAAGCTGAAATAAACCCTTTCCTCCCCAGGTTGCTTTTGGTCATAGTGTTTTATTACAGCCGCAGAAACCCACCTAGGGCAGCCTGAGGTATTGTGATACTGGTAAGGGAAAGGGACCTGACACACAGGCAGAAGTACCCCCTTAGAATTCTCATCACACCTTATCAGACTCCACTTTGTACATAGAACACTGAGGCTACCAATGGGACTTTTCCAGGCTTACACAGCTAGTAAGTGACAGGCAAGATCTGGCCCAGAGCTGGGTATTTTCAGACCCTTTGTCCTGTAAGCCTGGCTCTTTGGTGTCTGGGAGAGCAGTAAACCCTTTTTTCCCAGGGGAAGTCAGCCCTTCAGACCTGAACACTGTTGGCAGTATGAAAATTCCTTGCAAAAAGTTGAACCTTTTTCTTTTCTTTCTTTGTTTCTTCTTTTGAGATAGGATCTTTCTATATAGCTCTGACTGTTCAGGAATTCACTGTGCTGACCGGACTGGCCTCTGCCTCCTGAATGCTGGGACTAAAGGCATGCTCCATCCACAACGTCGGGCGAGTTTGACTTTCTTGATTAAGACCCCATATTGCCACACGAACTCAGAGAGGCAAATGCTTCTACCTGGAGCTGCCCAGAATGTCAGGCCACAGCACTTCCACCCCAGTCTGGCCTGCCCTTCTCAAAGATCAGCCTCTGCAGCCACAGGGAGCTGGATTCACACTTTTGATTGCAACTTTCCAAACAGATGAAATCAAGCATGTTTTCAGGTGCTCCTTAGATGATATTTGAATGTCACTAAAGAGCCTAGCAGACCCTCTCTGTTCTAGGCCTAAGGGTAAAGGGAATGTGCACCAACCAAAGGAACCAGGGGGTTGGCAGACTGCTTAGGAGGCAAAGGCATTTGCCAAGCCTGACAAATAAGCCTGGGTCGATCCTGGGACTCACAAGGTGAGAGAGAGCTAGCTTCTGCTGGATATCCTCTGGCCTCAACATACACACTGGAATATGTATGCACCTAAACATACATGCACACACACACAGAGCAAATTACTGTTATTATAAGGAATTAGAAAAGATGCCCATCTGAAAAAACAAAACAAACCCCATCTACGTATGGAGCTGGGTGTAACTGCACGTGTCTGTAATTCCAGAACTCAAGAAGCTGAGGCAGGGGGCTGAAGAGATGGTTCAGCCATTAAGAACACTGGCTGCTCCTCCACAGGATCCAGGTTCAGTTTCCTAGCAACCACATGGTGACTGACAACTCTACCTCCAGTCCAAACCAAGTTTTGTGTGTGTGTGTGTGTGTTTTGTTTTTTGTTTTTGGATGGGGGGAGGGCCTCGCCGGTAAAGGAAGACTTTCTCTTTTACTCTTTTCACTGTACACTTAGGATTGGACATTTTAAACACTTAGGATCATGCCTGCAGTAGAGTTCAAACTAAGAAACCAGCTTCCTTTATATGGAAGAGGAGGCAGATGAGGTAGGGGAATGAACAATAACTTTATCTTATTTGTGCTTTTCTTTCTTTGCTCCAGTTTCACTAAGGAACACTTTACTGCTTTTCCAACAGTTACTTTTAAATGTCACTTAAAGACAGAAACTCCCACAAAACTCAACAGCCTGGTTGCTCTGATTTCTGTGGCCTCCCCACCCTTCCTTGGCTGTGGCTGGCTTTGCATTTGGTCTGCCCTCGCACCAATCACCAGAGAAGCATGGTCAGCAGGCGTGGGGGAGGCCTGCTGGAGAGAGGCTTGGGGAGCAGATGGAAGTCTTGGGCTCTCTGGGGTTGGAGTTGGAGGCAGGCAGGTCCTGAACACCTGGAGGAACAGCGTGCCCCTCCCTAAGATCAGGTCTAAGGGGTATAGAATAAACTCTGACTGGATCGAAATTATGACTCTCCGTGTGTGTGTGTAAGTAAATGTGCTTGGGGAGAGAGCCTACATAAAGAGAGCTCTGTGCCTTCCTGTGACTGAGAAGAGGGTGATCTTCCAGAAGGCCAGGGCCTGGCCATGCCCAGGCAGTGATTGTGTTAGTGCTTAGGGTAGACAGTACTGGGTAGAAATGTTTGCCTCTGTCTTTGAGCTCAAGCGCCAATGGATTCAGATGGATTGGCCTTCCCCAAGAATAAAAACCAGGGTAGGGATGTTGTAGCTTAGTGATAAATTGTGTGTTTAACCTATAAGAGACCCTGGGTTTGATTCTCAGCACACACACACACAATTAAAAAAGCAATACCCCCAAAAACAAATTAACAAAACAAACAAAAAACTCCTGGCATGGCGCATGCCTTTAATCCCAGCACTTGTGAAGCAGAGGCAGGTGGATCTCTGTGAGTTCGAGGCCAGCCTGGTCTATAAAGCAAGTTCTAGGACAGCCAGGGCTACACAGAAACACTGTCTCAATAAAATAAAATAAAATAAAAAATTAAAAATAAAGCAAAACCATTTTTTTCTCAACATTCTCTTGGTCAACACTGTCCTCGGTCCTGAACATATGGTATTGGGCTACTAAAAGCTATCGTTTGTTTTCCTAGAACGGGCATCCTAGAATCATACAAGTTGACACACTAGTGTCCAGTTTCTTCCTGGGAGGAGAGGCCTATGAATACCTTATAGAGCGGCGAGTAGCGAAGGTATTCATAGAATCCCCCAGAACTGTGGTGAGGATCTTGAGGTGCAGTTGGTAAAGGATGGCTCAGATTCCTGGGATGGGGATTCCCCTCAGTTCTTGGCCTGTGTTGCCACATTTGATCTTTAAGAACATCCTCAGGGAGACTGAGGACATGACGCCTCAGTATGTGTGGTTAGGAGCACATACTGGTCTTGCAGACAACCAGAGTTCGGTTCCCAGGACCCACATCAGCCAGCTCTAGGGGAATCCGGTGCCTACTTCTGGAGTCTGCAGACACCTTCATCCACACACATAAACCCACACAGAGACACCCAAATACACATAATTAAAAGCAATTAAGGGCAGTAGTGGCACACCCCTCACTTCCGCACTTAGCAGGCAGATCTCTGAGTTTAAGGCCAGCTCGCTCTACAGACCAAGTTCCAGGAAAGCTGGGGTCTTAAACAAACAAAAGAGCAAACAACCAAACAACAAGAACAACAAAAACAAAGACAAGACGAACAAAAACTTCTTCAGGGTCTGGGTAGGTTCAGGGTCAGGGGCAATCCGTCCGGTGCTTGTTTTACAAGGCTCTTGTAGAAAGCCTGACCCCTGGCAGGTGAGTGTAAGCCTAGTGATGGAGGCAGGGAGGATCCCTGGCACTCACTGGCTAGTCTTGTCCAGGTTCAGGGGGAGGCCTTGTTTCAACAGGAGAATGCCAGAGGAAGACACACAATACCGACCTCTGGTTAGCGCACACACAGATGCCCACACATGCGCGGGTTCATTCCGAGAGGACCAGATGGGTGTCTGACACACTGTGGGTGAGTGAAATCAAAAAAGCAGAATTCTCAGGTGGCTGCTATTGTTGCTACCCCGTGATGGTCAGTTTCCCAAGGCCACATAGCTTGTTAGCCTGTGGTTTCCCAGCCATTGGGGTTAGTACGCCATTAGTTTAACAAACCACTTCACACTGAGCAGCTCAAATCATTCTGGAGAACAGACTTCTTAAAACCAAGGAGTCAGGCACCTGTTTCTCTTTGAAGGGTCTCAGGGGCTGGGGAGATGGCCAAGTAGATAAAGGTGCTTGCTGCTAGGCCTGGCAAGCCGAGGTCAGTCCCTGGAACCCAGGGAAGGAAACAGCAAATCCTCCAAGTTGTCCTTTACTGTCTACTGGTGTGTCCCCTCCCCCAGCAAATAAATGAACAAAGCTTAGGAAAGGTTACCTGATTCTCTGATGAGTCTTTGCCTCTCTGTCCCCTCATATCTTCCTTCCCTTATCTCCCGTGGCTTCTTACCTCTCTTTTCAGGGTCACTTGGATAATCTAGGCTAGCCTCCCCATCCTTTTGTTTTTGAGACACGATTTCCAACAGGTCACGAGTCCTCTAATTAGGGATCCAGCCAAGGATGACCTTGAGCCCCTGATCCTAACTGCCCCCACCCGGGAAGGGGAATGGCAGGTCTGTGAATCTACACAGCTGAATCTACTCTCCACTCATGACGTTCTGTAATTCAATCATGGCTGGAAAAAAAAATCCTTTTGCCCCATACGACAACGAACAACGTGAACACCGCTCTGGGTTGGTGCTGTGTGGTGTAGGAGTCTTTAGTTAGCATATCCACCCACCTGTCTTTACGGTGGTTTTAAAAGTTATTGTCCACAAACACTGCAAGGAAATGGCTGACCCTATTTAAATAAAATCTGCAAAGTAAACTTGGAGGATTTAAGAGTGCCGAAAAAGAGATATCAAACTTGGGGATATCAGAAGAGAAGAAAAATTTAAACTACATTTTGTTTTAAAATTTCAAGATGATCTTCAAAATCTGAAAGGCAGAAAACGAAGATTTGCAAGAAGACACTCTCTAGTTACTTCGTTTTCCTAAAAACTGAAAATAGTCTGCATCCGAGTGGGGCTTGAGAGAGAGACGGGAGAACGCTAGCCTGGCACAAATGACCAGGTCTTTTCCCCACTCTGTGAAACTGTGATAAGAACGAAGGCGCCCACAGCAACCAAAGATCCGTGACAACGCTGAGCCTGGACGCCGCGCGGCTGTGGGAGTGCACGGAAGCCGCAGGATCAGTTTGGTTCAAACCGGGTTCCTAGGCGACTGCCCCGCCCACTCGAGCGGGCACGCGACGGCGCAGCACTGCCCCCAGGTGGCCGCAGGTAGCATCACGTCCATGGAAAATGCAAAACTTATATTCTCCCACGCTACAATCAAGTGTTCCTGGTTGACACGCAGAGACTGTTTTTTCCTTTTTAGTGGTCCGTTCCTGCTTGCTGCCCGTGCCGGAAACCAGAGCATCGGCAAACCAGTGGCGGATGTCAGTACATGCAGAAAGATTGAGCTCACATTAGGCTCAGAAACACCCGGGGGCGGAGCTTGCAAGTGAAATACACAACGTCATCACACTGATATACTCTGAATGGATACTGCTACAGGCGGGAGGTAGCGTGGCCGAGTGGTCTAAGGCGCTGGATTTAGGCTCCAGTCATTTCGATGGCGTGGGTTCGAATCCCACCGCTGCCACATTCCTAGCTTTTTATTTTCCTCTGGTTCTGTCCTCTGTTTCGACCCCCTATGAAGCTCGTTTTTAAAAGCAAAAGATGAAGAAAAGAAAACAGCACAAAGAAGTTTATCTCTCTCGCTAGCCTTGTACACAAACCTCTTTCTTGACCAATTTTCTTCCCTAAAAAACAAGACACAAAACAAAACACCTCCCCCCTTTCAGGGCAGTGGTTCTGGGGCACTTTGCGAATTGCCAACAGGAGGTCCGAGTCTTAGTTCACACTTCGTGGGTCTCCGCCAAGGGTAAAGACAGTTGTGGGTGATTGTGATTACGACCTGAGTTAGAGAAAGTCCCTTCCCGGGGCTGGCTGACATCCATCAACCTCTATTGGTGGAAAGATGTCAGGTGACTACGGAGGGCTGGGTTGCTGGGGTGGATTCACGTAGAAGTGCCCATTTTGAGGTCTCAGCTTTATTCATTCTCCTACGTGGTTTGTATGCTTGGTTTAGTGGACCCTCAAAGCTTTATTATTCAACAATTATTTATGAAGGTCCTACTCTGGGCTGGAAAGCCAGCTCACAGTGAGGTTTCAGGGGTGAACAAGACAGGTATGCTGAACTCGTTGGATTCAAAGCACGAGTCGTGTGTGTTCATTTAATTACAACCGTCTCGTGCTCTGCACCGCAATGTCCTTACCCGACTCTGGGGACAAAGAGGTGGCATTTAGCTGTGCCTGAAATTGGACACTGAAGTGGAGGGGGGGGGGCGGTTCCGGAGAAATGGAAACCCCGGAGGTGACGAGACCCTGGAGAGCTGGAAGTGGGGACAATCAGGGGTCGAGACCCTGGAGAGCTGGAAGTGGGGACAATCAGGGGTCGCTGAAGACCGGATTGAGGGCAGGAGATGGGGCCGAAGAGGTGGGCACACCGGGCCATGAACGCCTGGTTCAGGCTTTGAACTCAGAGGGCAATGGGAAACCATGAGCGGGTTTCAGGCTTGTGAGTGGCACATTCTAGTTTGGGATTCATAAAATCCAGCAGGGGCGTTCAGTGGTTTGTAGCATGGTGGTGGCCGTTAGAATCAAAGGCGCGGGAAAGAGACGTTTTGGAAGTAGACTTTACAAAACTCAGGGACGAAACTGCTTTGAAGGAGAGAAACATGAGCAGGTGGACACAGAAATCTGCAGGCCAAGGGCACACTCGGAGCAGAGGACACAGATAAGGACGCCCTGGAGAATGAGGTGCTGGGAAGGGATGAACTCACCTAGGAAGAGCACAGAGGGAGGAGAGAGGCTGGGACAGTGTCCTGAGGGATGTAGTCTTAAAACGGGGATAGGAGTGGGAGCAGAGGGGAGCACCAGGGAGGGAACCAGACAAGAAACACAGCATGGTGTCACCGAGATCAAAGGGGATTTGAGGACGAGGGCAGGGGGCCATGCATACTGCTAGGAGACTTGCCAAGATCAAGACTGAAAACATCCACCTGGTGTCAGCAGGACAGCTCAGCTGGTAGAGGTATTTGTGTCTAGGCCTGATAAACTGGGTCTGAGTTTAGGATCCCACAAAGTGGCAGGTGAGAATGCCTGAGTGCTCTTCTGACCTGCACATGTGCACACAGGCATACATAGAATAAATAAAATATCCATTGGGCATATGACTCAATAACAAGGTCATTGATGACTTTAAGGAAAGTCACACTGGAGCTGGTCATGGTGGCACATGCCTTTTGTCCCAGTACTTTGGGGAGGCAGAGGCAGGTGGATTTCTGAGTTTGAGGGCAATCTGGTCCACAGAATGAGTTCCAGGGATTAGAGCTGCACAGGGAAATCCTGTCTTGAAGAAGGAGGAGAAGGAGAAAAAGAGGAAGAAGAAGGAAGAGAAAAAGGAAGAAGAAGGAGGAGGAGAAGGAGGAGGAAGAAGACGAAGAAGAAGAAGGAGGAGGAGAAGAAGAAGAAGAAGAAGAAGAAGAAGAAGAAGAAGAAGAAGAAGAAGAAGAAGAAGAAGAAGAAGAAGAAGAAGCGGCTGAAAAAGAGAGTAGATAACTCACTACACATTTTTATTCTGAAGAGGGGCAAGCCTTAGGAATGACAGTGGAAAACAGGTACAGGTCCGGCTCTCTCTTTCTATTGCCGGTGCTGAAGGTGGAACCCAGGGCCCTATACATCTTAGGAAAACACTCCACTGCTGAGCCACACCATTCTCCCTAGAAAAGATATACCCCACCTGCAATGTGTGTATGTGTGGAGTTCAGAAAACAATTTGCAGGAGTCTGTTCTCTCCTTCTACAACGTGGGCCCCAGGAATTGAACTCAGGACATCAGGCAAGCACCTTTGCCCACTGAGCCATCTCATCACCTTGGGAAGACATAAAGGCGAGCCTGGAGGCCTCATGGACGGCTGGTATTGGTCCATAGTTGGGAATGGCTTGTAATGGGAAACTTAGAAGCATGTCTCACTGGCTGCACCATTCTGACGGGCTGTGCCACCTTGGTCTACATTGGTTATTCTTCTGCACCAATGCTTCCTCCTTTAGTGTCTTTAAACAAGCCAGCCCTTCCTGTGAGCCTCACAGGGGCTGGTTAATTGGGGCAGCATCTAAATCCTCCTAGGGTTTAATTTGTGTCTTGGGTGGGGTGCCGCATCCCTTTCCACATGGTAAAGAGAGGGAGGAAGAATTCTTGGGACAGAGATCCGTGTTGTCCACCCACCCCCATGCTCAGGCCTTGGTCTTGCTATGTTTAGAGTCTTGGGTGGGTGGGGAGGATATGGAGAAATCCAGAAAACAAGTAAACTAATTCTTGGCTAGACAATAATGCGAACATGGAAGTCTGCTTCTCTGGCCCTAAGAGCATATTTCTCAGGAAGGGGCAGTAGAAAGGGGGAGGTAGTGGTTGAGACAGGGGGTCTCTGTGTAACAGTCCTAGCTGTCCTGGGACTAGCTCTGTAGACCAGGCTGGCCTCGAACTCACAGGGCTGGGACTAAAGATGTGGGCCACCATGGCCTGACTACTAGTGATTAAAAAAATTATGTACACACATAAAATTCTGCATCGTGTATTTTAGAACTCTTACATTGTCTTCCTTATTTACCAGACAGGGACACACGCTGTGAGGGACACCACCTGTGAAGGTTGACTAGTACCTCCTCCCCTGTCCACTACAGTTACTTTGCTCTCTGCTATGGTCCATAGTATGTGCTCAGCTAATGCCACGTGTGCACCAGATGACAGATATACGTGGATCTGTTTACCCATGTTCTTCTGGGATCCACAACAGGATGGCAGGGAGGTGCAGTTTCTTTGGAGAGCAGGACTGTGGCCGTAAACTCATAAAGACGAGCATCACTACCCATCCAGAAATACAAATGATTGGGAACCTATTCCTCACGCTGGCTTGCCTCAACCAGCCTTGATGCAGGGGCAGGAGCTTGGTCTCGCCTCAACTTGAAGTGCCACGCTTTGTTGGAGCCCATTGGAGGCGTGCCCTGTTTTGAACAGGGACAGAGGAGTGATGGGGGAGGAGGGGCAGAGGGAGGGAGAGTAGGGGGGAGGTAGGGGGGAAGTGGGGGTGTTTTGACTTCCTGCACCCACATAAAAGGCTGGGTGTGGTGGCATATGCTTGCAATCCCAGGGGTGGGAAAGAAAAGAGACAGGGTGGATCCCTAGGGCTTCTTGGCCAGCCTCGCCACTCCAAGCTCCAAATCAGTGAGAGAGATGCTTTCTGCAAAAATAAGGCAGACAGCTTCAGGAACAGCATCCTCTGATTCCACACACAAGTACACACAAACTAAATCATAAAATACTATCAGTCAAACTCTTGTGTATTATATTGGTACTTTTATGAGACATTCAATTTTCTTTTGCAAAGTTGTTGTTGTTGTTGTTTTTTTTCTCTTGCCCCTTCTGGTACAAAACCTCTTTACTATGCTGAGTTAAGTGAGAACCCAAAGATACCAAGTTGGGCTGGGTATCCTTCCCCAGCTAATCAACACAGATCTGTGTCAAGATCCAACAAACTCAAAGAAGCCATGGCAGGGAGGAGGCCCCACCGTCCCCAGAAACAGCAGAAGACTGGTCCAGTTCCCGACTCCACCAACCAGAACTTGTCCACTTAGACAACGGCGGGGCTGGAAGGGGACAGAGCAAGAGGACCTGTCCCTAAATAAGCAAGCTTGTTGGAGCTTCAGCGGACAGGTGGAGGCAGGAAGGGCGAAACCAGAGCAGAAAGAACCGGGAGGAATGGGGAGAAGGCTGGATTTGTTAGGAGTCTGGAAATGTCTGGGAAGAAGACGCTGGCTGGGAGGCCGGGACCTCATTAACGGCCTCACCTGGCCTCGGAGAAGTGTAAAACGCTGTCAGGAAGCCGAGGGCGAGGAAACGTGGCTGAGATTCAGGGAGCGGGGTAGAGAATGTGAGGAGGACGAATACAAGCCCATAGAGGAAGGGGCAGGGGCGTGACCAGGTATAGAGGCGGGGTCAAGAATCAGGGGCGTGTCTGAATCAGGAGGTCAAAGCCAGGTATAAACTCAGAGAACCTGACCGGGGATTAGGGGGCGGGGTCAGAGGAGCTGCACAGCACCTTGCAACGGTCGCAGCCCTAGGAAGTACAGGGCAAGGCCCAGCAGGCTGAGCAGCAGCAGCAGCAGGAGCAGCAGCCGCAGGAGCGTCAGCATGGTGAAGCCACGGCGCTGAGGGGTCGTGGCCTGCACATATCGCTCCACTGCGTCGGCGAAGCTGAACTTGTCCGGCGTGTAGCCAAGCTGAGCGCGGGCCTTGGCAATCTGGAAGGTGTGCGTCACGGCCACACTGAGCACCTGTGGGAAAGGCGGAGCCGAGGAGGCCGGGCTAGTGGGGTGGGGCGGAGGGGGGGGAGGAGAACATCCTGTGCCTTGTGGACCAAATGTATACGGGAGGGCAGCTTGTTTCTTGGTCAACACTGGGATTTAAAAAGACTGGTCGCTGCGTCTTGTTCCTGAGATGCCTTCCTGGGGCGGGGTGGGGTGGGGACACCATCCTTTCTAAGACCTTTTTCCTGGAGGGCGCCGCCTCCTGCATGCCCTTTCTGCATCTCATCCTTCAACCCCGCTAAATTCTCATCCTGTTTAATACCAGTCTCAGCTTCTCTTGCCAGCCTAGCGCCTTTCTGGACCTCTGGAGGTCTTAGATGCATTTATTTATTTATTTATTTATTTATTTATTATGTATACAATATTCTGTCTGTGTCTATGCTCAAAGGCCAGAAGAGGGCACCAGACCCCATTACAGATGGTTGTGAGCCACCATGTGGTTGCTGGGAATTGAACTCAGGACCTTTGGAAGAACAGGCCACGCTCTTAACCTCTGAGCCATCTCTCCAGCCCTAGATGCATTCTTGAACCAGGAGAGGCCTAAGGCCTCCTGCCTGCAGTAGGGTGCAGTTCTCCAGAACACCTCCAAGGAAGGATGCTGGCTTTCTGTTGCCAGCCCAATACCAATTGTAGCTGGTAGGGCCTCCAGTGCATCCTTCCAGCCCTCCTAGCTGCTTAACTAAGTGTCCCTAATAGAGGAATTCAGTTATGCGCAGCGATTCCTCTCTACATCTGAGGCTGCATTTCCCCCGCTTCCAGCTGGCCTGCTTCTAGGGTGATAAATGATAAATGACAGCTATCGATTATAGAACTCCCACTGTGCTTGCTGTAGGCCCTTTATATACTTTTGTCCTCTGAGACGACACTATGTCCTCTTTGCATAATTGGAAATTGAAGACCAGAGGTAAAGTGACTTGCTTAGGGCCACATAGAAGAGTCACTTCCTAGGCCATATTCTTTGTCACACTGGGGCCTGGAGATGCCTTCCCACCTGGCTTTATTCTTCTCTAGCTGACATTGGCTACGTGGTTCTCCCATGGCACAGACAGGCCCTTGGAGTCAAGCGCTGGCTCAGGGACCCCAATGAGAGAAGCAGAGAGACCACTTCTTGCCCCAGATAGAACCTTCAGGGCTGGGAGGAATGCAGGATAGTAAATTTCCTAAGCCAACCGCTTGCATGGAGACCTAGCCACTGAGCTACGCAAGCAGGTCCTGGCACAGTGCTCTCAGAGGTCAGGCTTAACAGTGACCTCAGGGTGGTGGTGCCTCTCCTGCATGCTGGGAAATTCCTCCGCTCTCATCACCTTGTTGAGTTGCCCTGTTTCTGAAACATCTTCCTTGAAAGCTAGAGAACTGCCGGGTGGTGGTGGCGGTGCACGCCTTTAATCCTAGCACTCGGGAGGCAGAGGCAGGTGGATCTCTGTGAGTTCGAGGCCAGCCTGGTCTACAAGAGCTAGTGCCAGGACAGGCTCTGTCTCGAAAAACCAAAAACAAACAAACAAACAAACAAACAAACAAAAGCTAGAGCACTAATTGGTGTCTCCCAGACTGACCAGCAGAGGGCGATGCTGCGCCCTGGAGCCAACAAGAAGAAGGGTGGCTCACTTGCCTGACTACAGAGTCCTGCAGCACTCCTGGCAGCTGCTGTGCCCTTTGTTCCCAATGTGTTCTCCAAGTTGGCGGTGGAGCTTTAGGTCTGGGTTCACATCCCATCAGTGCCTTGTGAGTGAGTGACCCTGGGTAGGCAACTTCGCTATGGGTCTAATTTTCTCCTCTGTTCGTGGGCAGGACAGTAATTTTCAGCAGCAGGGACTATCAAATGCTCCTATTTTATCCTGTCATTATCGTCCATCAGTCTGGGTGCTCAAAGGAACAATGGTAGGCAGCGGCTTCTCCGGAACATTCCCCACCCTCCCACTTCCCTTCAGCCTGAAGAGCACTGAACTTGAAATCCCAGCGTCAGTTCCAATGTGGTGTGATCTTGGATAGGCCACTGGGTTCTCTAGTGCCCAGTTTCCCAAAACAAAGCGGAGAACCTCATCTCTCTGCCCTTCCTTATGTAGCACTAGGCACAGTCAGATGAGCGAGCCCCTAAACACCCCCTGCTGTCTGGTTACAGTCTACTTAAGACATCCTCTTTGGAAAAGAGTTTTTAATATTTGTTTATTTTATATGTATTAACGCCTTGTTTGCATGCATGTTTGTGCACCACACACATGCCAGAAGAGGGTGTCAGATCCCTCGGGCTGGAGCTATGGTGGTTGTGAGCCAGCGTGTGGAGGGTGGGAATCAAACTTGGCTCCTCTGAAGAGCAGTGAGTGCTCCAAACCGATGAGCCATCTCTCCAGCCTCTTTTTGAATGATACGTGCTAAGCAAATGTGAAACTGCCCATGGGCTGGGTGCACACAAGCCATCCCAGCGCTGGGGAGGCAGAGGCAGGCGGAGCTCTGCGAGTTCGAGGCCAGCCTGGTCTACAGAGTGAGTTCCAGGACAGCCAGAACTACATAGTGAGATCCTGTCTCAAACAGCAACCGCCCAATCAACTACGCATCTACGCATCATAACTTCGGGAACAGTACTAATGTTCTGTACGTAGAAGACACTTGATACATACATACTTACTGTTAAGTAAGTGTGAATGACGCACTGGGGATTTTGTGAGTGTGCACGTGTGTCTATTCAGAGTGGGGGCTCCAAAAATTGCCCGCCATGGAGCCTGCCTTTGGGAGCCTCAGATGTGGATAGAAAACAAACCACCTATGACTGGAATAACAGCTATGAAGCTTGCTTGGAGTGGTCCAGTTTCCAGTCTACAACACAAAACCTCACTTGGTAGGGAGCATTGTAAAGGGACAGGCTGTAGCTCTGGCCCATGTAGAAGGTTCTGAGACCTCAGAGAAGGATCCTGTCCAGAGGTGTCCTGCAGCAGTGGCTATGTGGAGGGGAGGGGGAAGGTTCAGGGTTGGGGCTCCCCGACACTTACCTCACTGCGGGTAAGCAGTGGGGGGATGGTGCAGATGGGCCTCAGGGCCAGGTGCAGGTACTCCATCACTGCAGCTGTGGAGAGGTCAGGAGAGAGGGACTCTCAGGACAAACCCGTTGGGGACACTGTTTGCTTTGCTAGGGGGTCCCTTTACAAATGCCACCAGATTCCTTTCGGTCAACAGCCCTTGCTTGAGGGCCTGTCACAATAAGTTGGCACCGAGGAATACTGAAGGACCGAAGAGTACAAACAAATCTGAGAAGACGCGAAGGTGTTTTTATTCTCGCAACCTCTTTCAAATTAGGTTTCATTTACTTACTCTGTATATGTGTTTATATGGGTAGGTGCATATGTGGAAGTTGCAGGACAACTTGGGGCTGAGTCTTCCCTTCTACCATGTGGGTCTCAAGGATTGGACGTGGGGCAGGGGTGGGCGAGGTGTCAGGCTTGGTGGTAGCACCTTTACCCACTGAACCATCTTGCTGGTCTTCAAGCCTCTCTTTTGAGGCAGGATCTTATATGTAGACCAGACTGGCATAGGACTCTCTATGAAGCTCAAGCTGGCCTTGAACTCATGATCCTCCTGTCTCAGCATCCCACTTGCTGGAATCATAGGTGTGCCACCACACCTGACTCTCTCTCCTACTTCTTTTTCAAATAGGTTTTTTTTTTTTTTTTTGTAGTCATGGGTGTTCTGGAACTAGCCCAGTAGACTGGGCTAATCTCAGCCTCACAGAGATCTGCCTGCCTCTGCCTCCCAAGTGCTGAGAAAAAGGGTGCATGTCACCACCGCCTGGCATCTCTCTCCTATTTTGATTTTTCTTTTCGAGACCAGGTTTCTCTGTAGCTTTGGAGCCTGTCCTGGAACTAGCTCTTATAGACCAGGCTGGCCCCACACTCACAGGGATCTGCCTGCCTCTGCCTCCCAAGTGCTGGGATTAAAGGCATGTGCCACCATCACCTGGCTCTCTCTCCTATTTTTTTTTTTTTTTTTTTTGGTTTTTTGAGACAGGGTTTCTCTGTGGTTTTGGAGCCTGTCCTGGAACTAGCTCTTGTAGACCAGGCTGTTCTCGAACTCACAGAGATCCGCCTGCCTCTGCCTCCCGAGTGCTGGGATTAAAGGCATGCGCCACCAACGCCCAGCCTCTCTCTCCTATTTTGATATACCGACTTGGGTAAGGGAAGGGAGGAATTGCTTCTCACTTTAAGAAACACTGCTGTGTCCCTGCTACTCCTTCTGACATCATTTCTTTGAGGTGTGGCTGAGAATTGGCGAGTTTGACATGTCTGGGTGGTTCTAGTGTACAGCGGTGTGAAGACGCACCAAGCTGCAGCCAGTTTACAGAGAACTGCATATTTGTATACAATTCTCCCAAACTGCCATCCCCTGGGCCACAGGTAAGGCCTGTCAATCATGACAGTGCTGTGCAGGAGTCACCCACCTGGGTCATGAGTTTGCAAGTCTTTGATTTCAATAACAAACACTCCCAAATGCATTTAAAAGAACAGGTCCAGCTCTGACGTGGCAGGAGCACAGCCCTCACCTGTTCCCTTGGGCGGCTCACCCCAAGCCTCAGGCCTACTTGCATTCTTGCTGGAAGGAGGCCAGCAGAGGGCAGCAGCAGGACATAGGTGGGATGGGACCAAGGAGTGGGAGCAGATACTGACCAGCACGGGGAGGGGGAGAATCCAAGTCCAAGTTTTCACACATCCCAAGAAGCCCTGGTGTCAGTGTGACCTTGGAAGAGGGGGAGACTCAGGGCTCCCTCTGCCTTGCCAGCCATCACGCCTTCCAGCACAGGTCTCTGGGTCAAAGCTGCCCCTTCCCCTCTCCGCACCACTTCAGGCAGGTTTTAGAACCCCAGCCTCCTCCTTTCCAGTAGTTACAATCCTACCAGCCTTGTAGGCAGGCCAATGGTGAGCAGATGGAATACTTGCTCCTCTGAGTGCTGGGTCAGGCTGGGTACACCTGCACAACCTATTAAATTCCATTACCCTCACCTCCTGTGTGCCTCCTGGCCTCATGATAGTCCAGGCCCTGGGTTTCCGATCATGTAAACCACACATGTTGTGTGTATACCTGGCACACCATGTTGTCTCTTACCTGTCAGATAAACGCAGGAAGTTGGTACCTGGATCCAGGGCTGACTGTACCCCAGCTTCTCAAACTGCAAGGGAACATGGTCTGAGGTGAGAACGGGTTGTGCAGGGACTCGCTAGTGAGGAAATCCCAGATCCTGGCTGGCAGGGGACCCCACCAGCACAGACAGACCCCTCTACCCCCAAGCACACACCAGTCTTATTTTTTGAGACAGGGTCTCTCTATAGACCAGGCCGGTCTCAAATCACAGAGATCTGCCTGCCTCTATCTCCTGGGTGCTGGAATCAAAGGTGTTCACACAGTGCCAGACATGATGGTAATAATCATTCTGCATCCCAGTCTCGAAGTGAGATCCACTCCTTATCAGGATAACTCAAGTCGTTGAGAACATAAGGCAAATCTTTTTCTTTCCATGCATGTGCATGTGCGCTCGTGTGCATGCGTGTGTGCGTGTGTGTGTTTTGGAGGTCAGAGGACAGCTTGCCACAATCAGCTCTCTTCTTCACCATGTGGGTCCTGGGGATTGAACTCAGGATGTGGGCTTACCTGCGAAACCATCTCTTGCCAGCCTCTAGGGCAGGTTGTTTTTTAAAACTTAGAATATTTCACATCATTTAATTTTTACTATATCCACCCCTACCTGAACATGGTCCCAAGCCCTTAAGTAGAATCTGATATTTTAAAATAATTTATTTATTTTTATGTGCATTGGTGTTTGCCTGCATGTATATCTGTGTGAGAGTGTTGGGTCCCCTGAAACTGGAGTTACAGACAGTTGTGAGCTACTATGTGGATGCTGGGAATTGAATCTAGGTCCTTTGGAAGAACAGTCAGTGCTCTTAACCGCCGAGCCATCTCTTCAGCCCTGAATTTGATTTTTTTTCTTCCAGAATTGACTGCATAATTAAAGAAAAATAGATAAAATGCAGTGAGTGGGTGGAAGGGAGAGGGAGACTCAGGAAGAAACAGGCTGGCAGGGGATGAGTAGACCTGCCCACCTGCTTAAAACTTCTTCAGGCCAAAGCCACACCAACAAAGGCTCAGGCTGGAGCACTCCCCCACTGCTGGGAAGACAGGAATTCCACATCTCTGGAAAAGAGTCCAGCAGTTCTTCAATTGAAAGTTAAACCTGGAGTAACTGGTTAGCCCAGAGACTCCATGCAAGCCCACAATAATGTAATCCCAGCAGCGGGGCTCACTGGCCAGTCAGCCTAGTCTACTTGGTGAGCTCTAGGTAGTGAGAGACCCTGCCTCAAAAGACAGGTAAACAGTGCTTGAGGAACAGCATCCAGGGTTGTCCTCTGACTTCCACAAGCCTGTGTCCTCACATACATGTGCACTCGTATACACAGGTGTGCACATAAACACATACATTAAAGGAAAAAAAAGGAATGAAGTTTTGACCTGATAGATGCCACGACACAGATCAACCTTGAGAACTAAGAGGGAAGAAGCCAACACAAAAGGCCACTTATCCCATGAGTCCATTCATATAAAATTATCACGAGGGGCAAATGACAGCAGAGGAAGACTCCTGGTTGTCTGGGGTGGGGTACACAAGGTCAAGTTACTAACAGGTACAGGCTTGTTTTGCTTATTTGAAGACGAAGACCTGCTTTAAAGTTCATTAAAATAGTGACGGTTGTATAACTCTGAATATGGTGTAAAAAGGAAAACCATATTGAATCGTATCCTTTCCATAGGGTGAACTGCATAGCTTGTAAGTTACATCTCAATAAAAGTGCCTTTTAATTTAGAAAATTAAAAATTTTTTTTTTACACGTATGAGTGTTTTGCTTGTGTGTACGACTGGTGCTTCTGTATGCGGGAAGAGGGCATCAGCTCCTCTGGAACTGGAGTTACAGACAGTTGTGAGCTGCCATGTGGGTGCTGGGACTTGAACCCAGGTCCTCTGGAAGGGCAGCCGGTGCTTACAGTCACTTGAGCTGTCTCTCCAGCCCCTGGAAGTGCTCTTTGAGTGAAACAAACCGGAACTGCCATTGGCACAGCCGTACAAGATAGCCCCTCCACCATTAGACCCCGGGTTCTGTGCTCCCTTACCACATAGGCCTGGTCCTAAGGAGACTGTAGGTTGTTGAGAGAGGACACGATTTTCAGAGATGGGTTTGGTGGTAGGAAAGGAAGCAAGGACAGAGGATGGGATTTTAGAGACTTGCTCTGAGCTAGGGGACCAGAACACTCACCAGTGGAGCCATCCACTCAAAGAGGTTGACGCTTTCCCCATCGTTGATGTAGTATGCCTGCCCGCTCTGAGGGCAACAGGAGAGAAGGGTGCAGTCATATGCCTGCCCACAGCCTGACTCCTGACTCCCAGCTGTTGCCACATTGTTCTCTTGAGCAGTCTGGGGACACCTAGGTACACCTTAGTAAGGGCTGTGACTGGCCTGGCAGAAATGACGATCCTCCAGAGAGATGCTGACACTGGGCCGGCTGTCTGTCAGTCTGACCACCAGACTATTCAAACAACGGACCCCTGGAAAAACGGGGATTTTTTTTTTTTTTTTTGGTTTTTTGAGACAGGGTTTCTCTGTGGTTTTGGAGCCTGTCCTGGAACTAGCTCTTGTAGACCAGGCTGGTCTTGAACTCACAGAGATCCGCCTGCCTCTGCCTCCCAAGTGCTGGGATTAAAGGCGTGCGCCACCAACGCCCGGCTAAAAATGGGGATTTCAACAGGAATCTCACACTGGAAAAACCAAAGGGCTGCAGCCATAGGGGTGCTTATCTCCACAGCTTACAGGATGAGAGCCAAGACCACTTGGGGATGAATCGGTGGTGGACAGGACCATACCTTCCTTGACTGGGACTGCCAAAATGTGCACATTCTTGGAACCCTATTAAAGTTTAATCTCACTTTAGGATTCCAAGATGGACTGGGTTCTTTTGTCCCTCTTTTCATTTTTACTACTAATTTGACTTTGTTTGTTTGTTTTTCGAGACAGGGTTTCTCTACAGGCCTGGTCCTGGAGGCAGGCTGGCCTCGAACTCACAGAGATCCACCTGCCTTTCTCTGCCTTCTGAGAGCTGGGATTAAAGGCGTGCACCACCACTGCCCAGCCTAATTTGACTCTTATAATTGGCTTCTAACAGAGTGATTGAAGTTAGCTTCTTGGGGTACAGATTGTGGACCCAAGTTTGGTAACAGGTCCACCACACTGACAAGCTGTGTGACTCTGATGAACACAATGTCATTGTACTTCAGTATCGTGACACACTTCCATCTGAAGCTGTGACGTCACCGGGTCACTGTGAAGAGCTAATTACCCTCTCAGAAGCTTCTGCCTAACCCAGTGACCCTGGGACTCCTGAGGTCTGATTCTCCTTGCTTGCAGCCTGCGGGGGTGGGGGGAGTAGGGGTAGGGGCCGGGATGTCGGAGGATACTCACAGCCACGTAGCCCTTTGCCATGGTGAGGGCCTCAGCGGCCAGCATGTGCGCCTGCACCAGATTCTGCACGTGGACCCAGTTCATGCGTGTCCTGCGATCCCCAAACCGGAACATGAAAAGTCTCTTCCTGATGTGGCTCTGGTGCAGGGGAGAGGACAATGCAGGCTCACCGGGGTGCTTTACACGCTATCTACACGCTCCCAGCTTCCAATCAGCAACGGGCTAGACTCCAGCTCCACGTCCCAAGTCCTCTGGACGTCTCCGCTGGCTCGTCTCACGGATGACCTTGGGCCACCTTTGATCTTCCTAACTTCTCTCACGCCTCACCCTCAAAACATTTGCAGACCCAGTTGCCCCGACTATCACATCTCTTCGACTATCACTTCTCTTCAGAATTCGACTGCTTTCCTCCCCCAGGGCCACGCCCCTCTCTCACCTTGGGGACCACAGCAGCTTCTTAACCGTCCGTCCATCTACCCAGCCAGACCTGGCCCTGTTCTGGCGCCTACAGAATCACGTGGGCTACGATGATGAACACAGAAATGTGGACACCGCCTGCCCCACAGTCCTCCTAGACCTGGCCCAGCTACTCTGCAGCTTCTGCTCCTACTGACCTCCTCTCCGGCTGTCTGGGCACTCCTGGGCAATCTTGGGGTTTTTGGAGAGTTGCCCCCTGTCTGGCGGCTCTTCTTCGAAAAGCCTGCTTGACACGCCTGGCTCCTTCCTCTTCTGGAGGCTTAAAAACCTGGCCTTCTCCAAGGGATTTACCCAACTTCCCTGGGAGCCCAAACCCCTTACCCCACCCACCTTTTCTTTTCTCCTTTTGTGCCTGGCACCTTCCAACACTTTTTATAATTCAGCACGTGAGTCTATTTTAATCTCTTTCCTGGTGTGAGAACAGAGGCCACACAGAGGCAGGGACTGTCTGCTTTGTTTGCTGCTCTGAACAGTACTAAGCACAGTAGTAGTTCAATTAAGTGTTGAAGTGGAGGAAGAGCCACTGTGGTTTAGCAGTATCATTTACAAAGGCGACAAAGGGATATTTGAAGCGGCTCTCCCCAGATGACCTCCCACGGTGCCCCATGGCCTTGCACTCTCAATAGCTCCAGCTTAGATCTTGCTGCACTGTGACCTTGCTCACATTTGGTCCACCTCAAGTGGCTCATTCACTTGGCATTTGCTTTCTCTAATCACCACAGCTCATCAGGAAATCCCTTTTCCTCCTTCCAGACACTCCAGGCATCCCTCCCTTCAGGAAGTCTTCCCAGGGTCTTCCCTGACAGGCCCATTTTTTTTTCTTGCATCTTTCTCTCTACTTAGTGATCTGTCCCCCTGACCAGTTTGTGAGGACACTAGGGCCTAGAGCCCCTTGCAGCTGGATTTCTCAGTACCCGGATTTTTCTAGAGTTTTCTGACATGAAGAACCTTCACTGGCAGCCTAGTTTAAACTGCTGCCTTGGGGTACCTTAGGGTCTCTCTGGGGTCATAGCTCTCTTTCTCCCTGTTTTGAACAGAGGTCTGGATGGCACACTGAGAGCTTTGACCCTCGTAGGTCTGAGGACGAAGAACTGGTAGGTGTCGGGGTGGCCTCCCAGCATAGAGAGTCTCTGGCTGGGACACTGCCCCTAGACAGGGACCATGATCCAATCAGCAAGCACAACACATCAACCTGACTCCTTCTGCCTCTGGTCCTTGGAAGGCTGGGAGGACTTACGGCCACCCGGGGTAGGTGTCTCTGTTCTTCAGGGCCATAGATCCCTGGGGGGCGGAGCACACAGGTGCGCAGGGTACCTCCTCCTAGGACACAAGAAAGGGTGGGGGGGGCACAGAAGAGTGGCATACGGAGCTCGGGAGTCCACAGCACGCGGGGATGGGAGCTCAAGGTCCACCACACCTCCTGCTCCTCATCTGGCATGGAAGGTCCCGTAGAGTACTCTGTGCTGCTAGCAGCCCAATTTCTTTGGGGGTTCCCCCTCCCCCCGCAGAGGTGGTTATACATGGTGTCCTTAGATGTTCTCCCCTGGAAGTGACTCTCAGCGTCATCAGAATTAGGACCACAAACACTGAGGGCAATGACCACAAGCTCCCGCCAGCCAGGGCCCTTGAACTATTCATGGCCTGTGTTTCCTAAACCAGGTGGCTGTTTTTCTGCAAATCTGTCTTCCAGGTACCTCTGCAGTATGTTCCCTTTCCCCATGAACAAGCCAGGCCCAGAGACTTCCATCTCTACGAAACACCCCTCCCGTTACAATGAAGTCCAGAGTCACAGATGATAGGGTGGTCTCCAAACGTCACGTTTGCATTCTAGAACCTGCCAATGTGGCTGCTTGGAAAAGGGCCTTCAAGCTCGTAATTACGGATATTGGTGAGCTGATGGCATCGGAGATTTTCAGCTGGGTCTAATCCAATTACAAGTGTCTGAGAGAGACCAACAATGGAGAAAGAAGCCACATGAAGGTAGAAGTAAGGGCTGGAGTTTTACAGTCATGAGCCAAGGGTCACCTGGGGCCACCTGAAGCTGGAGGGGACAGAGGGCCCCTTCTCCAGAGCCTTCAGAGAGAGTTCTGCCTGCCAATACCAGTTAACACCAGGATCCCAGGCTCTGGCTTTTAGATGGTAAGAGACTGTTCTAAACCACGGCGGGAGTTGCAGGATATTAACACAAGCAGGTGTAAGAGGACACAGCTCCTGACAAGGCACCGTGACCTACATATTAGGACTCTGGTGCCCGGCTCAAGTGAGGGCTGTCTCAGACTAGCCTGGATCTCAGGCTACTGCAATCATCGCTGGTCACCATGGTCAGCCTCCTGGAAGGCGGGTGTCAGCTGAGCTTTTCTGTGGCCTATAGCTAAGTTTAAACTCTAGGTCCCTAGGGGCACGGTGGAGGGAGGTCAAGTTGCAGTCAGTGGTGGCCAGTGGGACACTGGGTAGCCACATCAGAGACGGGCAGGACTAGGGTATCCATGACTCTTCAGAGCATTGAAAGCTGGGGATGTGCTTATAAATAACCCCCAGCCAGAGGATTAGGTGTCTGGCCTGGCGGTAGGTGAAGAGGGCTGTGCCCTGACAGAGAAGGGAATTCACCTGCATCAGATCAAACCCTGGGGGAACACAGCGGCTGTGCCCACCAGGGCCAGGGGTCAAGGGCTGCCAGACTAAGCAGTGAGAGCAGGGGTATTGTAGGGAAAGGAGTCCTCAGACAGGGACCTGGTTGGCTGCCTCTGGAGTAGCACAGTGGGGAAGGCCTAGATTTCGGGGCTAAGACTCCCCTGGGCTTTGATTCTAACTCTACTGCTCAGTGCTGTGTGACTTTGGGCAAAACCAGCTACCCGTCTCTGTTTCCTTTTGTGTAAACTGGAGGCTGCAATTTCAAGCCTCTCTCGTTCCCCAAATCCCATTGGTTCCCACATTTGCTTGTCTTCTTCAGTGCTACTAGAAGGGCCGAACACAGGGCTTCATGCTAAGCAGGCTCCATACCTCTGAGCTACATCCTGGCCTTTTAATTTAATTTTATTTCTTTACCTATTTATTTATTTATTTATTTATTTATTTATTTATTTATTTTTACCTTTTGTTTTTTTGAGGCAGGGTCTTGCTATATAGCCCAGGTTGGCCTTGAACTCACTCTGTAGCCCAGGCAAGCCTTAAATTTGTAATCTTCCTGCCTCAACCTCCTGAGTAGCTAGTATGTGAGGACTTTGCTACCAGACCCAGACCCAGGCAGATAAATTTCTCCTTCTCTTCCTTTCTTTTTTTATCCTTCCTTCCTTCCTTCCTTCCTTCCTTCCTTCCTTCCTTCCTTCCTTCCTTCCTTCCTTTTTGAAGACAGGTCTCTCGATGTAGACCTGACTGGTCTCTCTCTCTCTCTCTCTTTACTTTCTCTCTCTCTTTCTCACTTTCTCTTTCTTTCTTTCTTTCTTTCTTTCTTTCTTTCTTTCTTTCTTTCTTTCTTTCTTTCTTTCTTTCGACAGAGTCTATCTATGTGGTACTGACTGGCCTGGAACTCACTATGTAGACCAAGCTGGCCTTGTACTCAAGATCTGCCTGCCTCTGCCTCCCCAGTGCTAGGATGTGTGTGCCACCACACCTGGCTTAGATAGATAATTTTGACAATAAGGGGAAACCATGATTTCTGGCAAGCAAATTGTCTGAATGGGTTTGGCTCCTGTGTGGAAGACCAGGGACACCTAAAACCCACACTCCATTCAGGAATGATCTGGACCAAATGAACCTTTGCATATGAAGTTAGCATGCAAAATAAGGCCTGGCATGAAGAGCACACATATGTGTGGACAGTTCCGATTTTACTATTGTTCTCTGTAAGCCAGAGGGGAGGATGTAGGGAGGCACCCGAGGTAGGTTTTTCTGGGAAGCTATTGAAGATTAAGTATAGACGTCTCTCACTTGCATGGTCCCTTCCAAAGCTCCTTACATATTCCTAATGCTAAAGAAGACTGCCCAGACTAAATCCATTCCCATAAGACAGCAAAGAGAGCAAGTGTCAGGCTGTCCAGATCTTTTCCTCTCCAGACTGCAGGCAGGAATCTGACTGTCCAGGCTGTGTCCTGGGTGAGGGAGACGTACGCTGGTGCTCAGAACACACCAAAGAACAAAGGCCCAGGCCGTGTGGGGATGACTCAACTCAGACACACAATGCAGAGGCGGCAGTGGCCAGGCATTCTTGTTAAAAGCAGGCCCCACAGTACTCACCTAGGAGAGGTGTCCCATTGGCCATGAGAGTCAGCTGGTCAGCAATGGCTTTGGTTCGAGAGTAGTGGTCCATGTGCTGCCAGGGGACAAGGAAAACACAGTCAACAGATGAGCTCAGTCATGTTGATGGCAGTACTGGTCCATCTGGTCTACCCCACGGCTGCATAGTCCCGACTCGGGGGGGGGGGGCAGTCTGTGACATCTGCCTCGTGACACCGATATCAGATATGGGTTGGATGATCTAGTCGTAGGTCATCCTTCAGTGTTCCTGTGACATCTTTGCACACAATCTCATTTCCTACTTTCTACAAACCCCTTCCACGGTGTTACCAGGCTCAGAGTGTGTGATAGCTCTCACCTCTGGCTGGGTGGGGCTCAAGGCCAGGTCTATCTGATTTTAAAGCCTCCGAGGGTGGAGGGCAAGACAAGCTGGGATAGGAGACAGTTTGTACCACTCAGCTTGGGAGTCCATCCTACTGTGACCCACCCTGAGTTATAAGACGGACCTGGCTCCATCCATACTTGCCTTTTGGGCAGTCATTCCCAAGCCTGCCACCCTGCCCCATCTCTCCCCTCCCAGAAATTGGTACCTTGTCCAGCGGGAAGTATGGGACAGAGCCCTCATCGCCCTGCTCTATGGGCTTCCCACCAAATGTCACGTTGACTGTGCTGGTGTACACGAGCCTTGGAACCCGCCGACGGACACAGACTGCAGGAGACACACATACACCACAGTCAGACTGTGAGCAAGGGGCTGGCTAAGGACAGGCTCAGACAAGGTAAACCCACCCATTTCTACTCAGCCTTAATGCCCCCCCTCCCCCCAGAGCTTCCTGGAAGGGGGAAAGCCTCCACCCTCAACTTGGAATGTGGGGCCCAAGGCTTCTTATTCCTCCTTCTGGTGTGGCTTTGGCCCCCTAGCCACACCGTCAGGGGCAGGCAAGAAGAGAAGGCTCAGTTGTTGAAACAGGGAGAAAAGGTGGTCTAGAACTGGAGAAGGTGCAGGTCAAGGCTGGCCCAACAGAAACCTTCTATCTGATGTCTCAGTGACCGTCCTCAACCCCTAGTTCCGAGTCCCCAGACGTGCTGAGACGGTCGATGCTCCTACAGGGCCCCCGAGAAGAGGCTCTGCCTCCCACTGGCCTCGGTTGGTACAGTCTAGGTAGGGCAGAGGGGTCCCGCCTCTGTTGCTCCCACCTCCAGCTCCCACCCCGGAGCCAGGCCAGTGACAGGAGAAAGAAGAGAAGGAATCACACTGCAGGTCACACTCCACTCTGAGGGCCTACCATTAATCACTAGCCTGGTGCCTCCGACATTTATAGACTCAATCTGCTGTTTCTGTAGCTAAGAGATAAGAGGGAAATGGAAGTCACGTGCTGCCGTCTGCCCCGTGGCTGAGACCACTGGCTGAGCTCAGGGTCGGCAGGGTTCTTGCTGAAAGTGTCAAGGGCATAGGCGGCAGGGGCTGGTATAGAGTTTGGCACAGATAAGTGATCTCAAACACGTTGGCTCATTTTCTGCCTCCCCAAGTCTGTCGTTAGCTGAGACAGCTGTGGTGGCACAGCCATGCCCTTAGGGCAGTGGAATGCCAACAAAGAACGGGTGTGCAAGCGTTGGTTCTTGCGTGCCATGCACCCAGCAAACAGGACGATCCAGACCTCACTCAACACCACTGGGAAATGTGAAGGGCTGTATTTTCAAACTGCATTTATTTATTTTCCTTCGAGACAATGTATCTCACGTCACCCAGGCTGGCCCCAAACACGCTATTATATAGACAAGGATGACCTTGAACTTTCTGATCCTCCTGCTTCCAGCTTCCAAGTGCAGGGATTATAAGTCTGGGTCACCATGCCTGGTTTGGGGGTACTGGGGAATCCAAGACAGGGTGCTTTTGGAGCAAGCTTCTACCCACTGAGCCACATCCCCAGTCGAAACTATGTTTATTCTTATTGTGATGTTTTTTGTTTAGTGGGGAAATAGCTACAAGGTTAGAAATGATTCCAAGAAGTATGCCCAGGGGCTGCGGAGATGGCCCAGTGGTCAAGGACTCTCCCAGAGTCCTGGATTCTGTTCCAAGCACCCACATGGCAGCTCACAAGAGTCTGTAAGTCCAGATCCAAGGGATCTGATGTCCTCTTCTTACTCCCTCAGGCACCAGGCACACATGTGATACACACACATACATGTAGTAGGCAAAATGCTCATACACATAAAACTTAAAAAAAAATCTATCTAATGAAGATGAAAGTTCCTTCACACTCCCGATTCCAAGGTTTCCTCGGCCCTCTCCAGAGGGAGCCGCTGTTAATGGCTCTGGACGTTTGTACAGAGAACCTGTATTTAACATCATCATATGCCCATGTGCATTTAATAAACATTTGGCCTAGCTTTAAAATTTTTATCACGTTTTTTATTTGTTTGTTTTGCACGGGTATGCGTGTGCCCATGTGTGTGGGGGCCATGGTACACAGGTGGAGGTCAGGGGACAGCTTGTGGGAGTCAATTCTTTCCTTCCACAGTGTGGGTCCAGGGGGTCAAACTGAGGTCACCAAGCAGAAGGCACTTTTTTTCTCTTTCTTTCTTTCTTTCTTTTTTTTTTTTTTTTTTTTTTGAGATGGGGGTCTCTCTATGTAGCCCTGGCTGTCCTAGAATTTGTTATTTAGCCCAGGCTGGCCTCAAACTCACAGAGATATTCCTGCTTCTGCATCCTGAGTGCTGGGATTAAAGGCAGTTGGTTGAGTTATCTTAACTTTTCTTTTCTCTACTTTTTAAAGGTAAATAGGGGATCCCAAGCACTATTTTGAGCTTTGGAGACTGCCAGGTTATCAACACTTCTGAGTTTTTTCTGTCTTTTGTACGGCTGCACAGAGTTTCATGACATACCTGCTCTAGCCTATTTCCATAACTAATGGACCACTGCATTATTGCTGGTGCTTTAGTATTAAAAGCAATGCGATGAGAATATAAATAGGTATAATTTGAGTTGAGCGGAATGCATTTTTGTAGACACCGCTACAGTGTTTCCCTAAAGAGTTTGTGACCTAAATTGCAGTGACTTCTTCCTTTCCAGACGAGGAAGGAACAGCTCCGAGAGGTGACCTGCCCTGGGTCACCCAGGTGGGAGGTACCAGAACTGGTGTTTGAGGTCATGGATTCCTAGTGCGTCTTTGGAGAGGCGAAGAACAATGAGGAATAAATACTTGGGCATCAGAGTGTGGTGGGTGGGGCAGGACTTGAACACTACTCTGCCCGGCTCAGGCGTGAGTGGGAGTCTCACCTTCTCAGCCCCAGACATGCCATAGGAGGCCACATGAAAAACACAGTCCACTCCCTGGAAGGCTTGGTACAGGGCTTCTTCATCTCGGACATCGGCCTGAAACAGACAGAAGAGGTTCAGGTCCAAGGCAGTGACCCAGGCCAAGCACCTGGAGGACCAGCCTTTATCAACCCCACAGAGCATCGGCAGTGGCGGCCCCTATTCCTCTGTTCTTGGGTCCAGGGCTGGCCTGGGTGCCATATGCACTATCTTACTGACTCCCTTATGAGCCCCTTGTAAAATACATGTGATCGTTGTCTCTAATGCGGGTAAAGACTGGGGCTCAAGGGGGTGTGACTACAGCCTTGAACTACAAGAGCTGGAGCTGAGGACAGCAAAGAGGCTAGGAGACAGCGAGCGCTTTCCAGCAAGCCGGAAGACCCGGAAGACCCGGAAGACCCGGAGGACCCGGAAGGATCCGAGTTTGACTCCTGGGATTCACAGGAAGCTGGATGAGGTGCATCTGCAATCCCAGCCCTCCTATGGTGAAATGGGAGCTGGAGCAAGAAAAGTGCCTGGAAGCTCTAGGCTGGCCAGGCCAGAGTGTGCGCAATGGAAGCTCTAGGCTGGCCTGGCCAGAGTGTGCGCAATGAAAGCTCTAGGCTGGCCCGCCGGAGTGTGCGCAATGAAAGCTCTAGGCTGGCCCGCCGGAGTGTGCGCAATGAAAGCTCTAGGCTGGCCCGCCCGAGTGTGAACAATGGAAGTGGAGACAGAAGAGGCCTGCCTCACCATGGTGGAGGGAGGGAAACAACTCCAGAAAGGTTTCCTCTGGCAAATGTATGCCTACTGCACTCTCACACACATCACGTGCACACACACACACATCACACGCATCACACATATGCTCACACATCGCAAACATCATTCATATAAACAAACATATCACACATGTACATAACACACGCATGCACATCACACATGAATCACACAATCACACACATCACACACTTATCCCCTACACACTCACATCACACGCACGCACACACACACGCACACGCACGCACACACTCACACACACTGATAACAAAATCTAAAAATAAACCCAGGCGGTGATGGTGCACACCTCTAATCCCAGCACTCGGGAGGCAGAGGCAGGTGGATCTCTGAGTTCGAGGCCTGCCTGGTCTATAGAGTGAGTTTTAGGACACTTGTTTTTCTAAAAATAATAAACAATGAGGGCTAAATCTGGCTCCAGAGCCCGAGATCTCAAACTCCACTGCCTGTCCACACCGTATTTGTCCATCTGAGCTCTGCCACCGTCACCACCACCGCCAGCACTGTCACCGTCAGCAGCAGCCCCCTCCATGATTCCCATCTCTGTACCTGGACAAACTCGGTTCCTGGGGGTAGCGGCCACTGGGGTCTGCGAAGGTCAAGCAAGACGACAGAAGTGCCTCTCTTGGCCAGGCTGGAGCCCAGGCTGAACCCCAAGTAGCCTCCTCCTCCGGTCACCAGAACCTTTTGTCTGGGGGCTTGTGTGGGTTTGGTTCCAGTCTTCTGCTGCAGTGCTGGTTCTGGGGTTGCCACTGATTCACTGGGGTTAGAACCTGTCCCAGAGCCTCGTCTGGCCCCAGACCCTAGCCCCAGCCCAGATAATGGTGCAGCTCCCTGACTAGGTACTGACGCACTTACTAGCTCAGGTACTGACCCAGCTCCTGACTGAGGTCCTGGCTGAGGTAGTGACCCAGGTCCTGGCTGAGGTACTGATGCAGCTCCTGACTGAGGTACTGACCTGGTTCCTGGCTGAGGTAATGGCCCAGTTACTGGCTGAGATACTGACCTAGCTCCTGGCTGAGGTAGTGACCCGGGTCCTGACTGAGGTACTGATCCAGGTACTGTCTCAGCTCCTTGCCTGGGTCCAGACCTAGGTCCTGGTCCAGGTAATGATTCTGTTCCTAGTGTGGGTCCCAGAGTAGGCCCTGAAGTAGCACCAGTCACAGAAACAGCTTTAGATCCTGGCCCAGACCCTGGAACAGTCCCAGGACCAGGTCCAGGTCCTGGAACAGCTCCAGGTCCCAGCCCAGGCCCCAGAACAGCCCCAGGTCCTAGTCTAAAACCTGACCCTGACCCTGAAGTAGACCCCAGACCAGAGGCCCCTCCACAGGCCTGACAGACAGGGCAGCCCTTCTCTCCCTGTCCTGCAACTCTACAGGTTTCTAGTGAGGAGCTGGCAGGGTTGGTCTTCATCCTCTATGAAGCCATGCAGCCTAGAGGCTGTCCACCTGTGGAAAAACCAGAAGAGTGTTCTAGGTCATCCCAAGGCAAAGTGAAACTTCAGGAAAACTGGAGCTCTCTCTGAGCCCCAGACTCTTTCAGAGCCCCAAGAACCTCCATGTGACTGCTGGCTTCTTAGAGAGCTGGAGAAGGCAGCCTGTCCTTTGACGTCATAGCTGGGGAAACTGAGGCTCAAAATCATGTTGTATGACTCAGATGTACACTAAGCACCCCTGATTTCCCCACAGGCCCCATAAGTACCAGAGGAAGGCAGAGTCAGTTATGCCTAGGGGGCCTCACATACTGGGTGTGGTGTTATCTGACTAGGAATCAGGGGGGCAAGGAGGAGGAGGAGAAGAAAAGTTGGAGGAAGAAGAGGGGGAGAGCGGAGAAAGAAATAGGAGGGAGAGAAGAGTAAGAGGAAGGAGAGGAGGATGAGAGGAAGGGGGGAGAAGAGGAGGGAGAAGAGAGAGGAAGAGGGAAGGAGGAGGAAGGGAGAGGAGAAAGGTGAAAAGAAGAGGAAGAGGACAGAGGGGAAGGGAAGAAGGGAGAAGGAGCAGAAGGATGAGGAAGGACAAGGAGAGGGGTGAAGAGGAAGAGGAGAGAGAGAGAAGGAACCACGTGGGACTTAAAGGACTCAGCACCTGGAAACTTGGCTGTGATCTCCAAGTCTAAAGCCACTCCTGACACCAGGTGCCCCAGGAGCAGCAGGCTGACACCACATGATCTGCCCATCCCCCGCAGCCTTCCGGGTCAGGTGGGTGGGCCCCAGGGACCATTCTAGACCTATCGCTTGCTCAGGCTCAGTCAACAGTCATGGTCTTCCCTGCCCTCGTCTACCTGAGCGTCAGGCTGGACCACGGTGTAGATGCAGCGACTGCACTGCCGGCCTTCTGTGTCCCAGGCTATGCCTGGCATGGTGCATAACAGCTGCACAAAAGAGCGGGCGTTTTTTGGCCACTGAGCTGTTGCCCCTGGTGATCATAGGACAGGGACCCTGGAAGTTATAAGAACTAGGCCTATGTCTCCTCTGTCATTATTCTGTTCATTTTGGGACAGGAATGCACATAAGTGGTGGTGAGGGACATCCAAACTAGAGTTGTTATGGAGGATATCTACACCCCCCCGCCCCCCCCCCCGCCACCCTTCAGTCAGGAAGCAAGATATAGCTTCAGAGGGGGAAAGGTATCTGGGTCTTTATGGTGGCAAAGGCTGGCTGTGCCCTTGAGTGAAATGTTGAGAACTTCACAGTACCTCAGTATCCACAGCTGTGAAATGGGCCCAAATCATTGTGGCTGCCCCAAAGTCCTTACACAGGGGTCCTGAGAGAGCAGATACCAAAGCCTTTGCAGATCACCTCACTGCAGGCTGCATGGAGGGTTTGCTGACTGGCATTTCCCGTGCCTGGAACACTGCCTGGCTAACTGCTAGGAGAATAAACAGGGGGCCTGTTCCTCAGGAGACCATTATGGCTAAGCCAGGACTGAAGCTGGGTATGGCAGTGCTATACTCTCCTGGCATTCTCAGGAAGCACAAACTACCGTTCCCATTACTCAGAAGTGGAAACTGAGGCCCAGAAAATATCAGAGGATTGTGAACGAATTATAATTAAAGGTTGGCTGTGGTGATACACAGAATAACATCAGAACTCCAAAGGCCTACACAGGATGATCGCTATGAGTTCGAGGCCAGCATGAGTTGTGTCTCCCCCGCCCCCCCCAAAAAAGTAACATGGTCTACCAGATGGCTCATCTCTGCAAGCCTGACTATGTGAGTCGGATCCATGAGGAGAGTAGAAAGAATTGACCAGTGGTTCTCTGACCTCCACACATGCCTCGTGACAAGTGTGCCCCCATCACACACACGTAAATATACATCACATCACACAATGCACCCCCACCCCCACACAATACACACACACTACACACGTACACATCACATATACACACACACCACACACGCACACACACATGCACACATTACACCTCACACAGACGCACACCCTCCCACCCCTCCACCACACACACACACACTCCCTCCCCCTCCCCCTCCACATGCACACACCTCACACCACAAATACACCACACATACACATCAACACCACACACATGCACACCCCTCCACATCACACACACACACACACCGCACAGTAATAGTAGTAGCAGTTGTCATTGTCATAGTAGTAGGAATATTAAAAACTAACAAAAATGAAGATAGTTAAAGGACTCAGTCCTTAATCCATGTCCATGGAGACACCAACGCTGGGTTTGATGAAAGGGCTCGGGAGTGGCAGGGATCCGAGCCTCCCGCTGGCGGACTGAGCACGTCCCACACAGCTAAAGCATGGGGCGGATCCTCATCCCGGGCGTCTTTGCCCTCCTTCCCCAGCCACCACGCAACACTCCGCACTCACCTGGCTCGGGCTCCCGCAGCGCTGCGTTCTTCTTGAGCCACTTGGCTCTCAGCGCCAAAGCCAGCACCGCCCGCGGGACCGCAGCTCGAGTTGGGCTGGTCCTGGGACCGCCCCGCCCTCTGCCTCCGCCCCAGCTGTCCTGCCCTGTAGCTCTGCGCTCTCCAGCCTAGAACTCCGCAGCCAGGGCTGCGTTTCTGGTAGAGAAAAGAGGCGAAGGAACTGCGAGCCTGCCCTGTCCTGTCTTTCCAGTCACCGTTCTTTCACGCCGTTCTTTATTCCACTTTCTCTATCATAGTCCACCTGTGTTCCCCCTTCCAGCTCATCAGCCATCGTGTGTGTGTGTGTGTGTGTGTGTGTGTGTGTGTGCGCGCGCGCGTGCGTGCGCGCGCCTGAGCATGATTAGATATACACCCCTTTGTCCATCCATCTAGTTTCCTGTCAGTTTCATTTCTCTGTATCTGTCCTTTTAAACTCACCCAGACATACATCAGTCCGTCTTTTCTTCAACCCACTCTTATGGTACACTTGTCCATCCAACCTTCCATCTACCAAAGCCAATTTCCGTCCGTTTATACGCCCGTTTTCCTTCCTTCCATCCATCTACCTCCCTAAGAATATTCTTACATTCTTTTACCCCCCCTCTTCCCTGTGGTGCTAGGGGTTGAACCTAGGGCCTCACACATGCTGGACAACTGTTCTACCATAGAGCCACATCCTTGCCTCCACGTGCCCCACTTTTTTTTTTTTTTTAAACATTTACTTCCTCTGTGGCCCAAGCAGGCAATGAAGTTGTGTTCCTCCTGTCTCAGGAGCCTAGAGAGCAGGAATAAAGCCTGTGCCTACAGGCTTGGTTCCACTGTTCCATTTTAAAGGATGCTTCTTTATCGTTGACCTTTCCTCTGTGCTGGGGAGCAGAAGGGCTTTTTCCCCATTCCTGGAAAACTCCTATTTGAGAGACAGTAGCCAAAGGGCTGGCTTGTGTCCAGCCTTCTACACTTCTGCTATAATGAAGCCACCTGGTTCAGAGTAGGGAGCCTGCCTCTTCCTTTACTCTGAGAAGGGCCACAAATAAACTCTCCACCTGTGTGAACAAGTTCTGGGAACATCAGGTGAAGGAGGCAAATCCCAAACTTTGGCCTGCTCCTGCCGTGTGCCAGGTGGAAGAGTGTCCCATTCAACCTCTGTGATTTCTGTTTCAGCCTCATTTTGGAGGTAGAGAAACAGATTCAGAAAGGAGGCTCAAGGAGAGCTAGGCATAGGCCTTGGGGTTCTGAGATCTTGGCTTTGCCTCTTTTCTTTTGAGACAGGGTTTTACTTGGTAGACCAGGCTGGCCTTGCCTGATCCGCTTGCCTCTGCCTCCTGTGAGTGCTGAGATTAAATGTATATGCCACCACCGCCCGACTTTTTTCTTTTTTGTTACATTTACTTATGTGTACGTGAGTGCACACATGTGCCATAGTGTGCACTGTGGAAGTCAGAAGACAACTTGCAGGAGGTGGCTCTCTCCTTCCATCGTGTGGGTTCCTGGGATTGAATTTAGGCCATCAGCCTTGGTGGTAGGCACCTTTACCTGCTGAGTTCTCTTACTGGTCTTTTGCTTCTTTCTTGCTGTATTTTTTGGGCAGTCGCAAGGCTTCGTTTCCTCATTCACAGACTGGGAATGATATGTAGTTTATTCTAAGCCTATGGCCGATGTGATAGAGCATGTGCAAATCCCAGAACACGGAGCGACTCAGCTGGCTCTCAACAGCAGCTGCTATCCCTATCTGAGAAGGTTGGATGCAAGCCCATTTGTTCTCCATCACCACTTCCCAAGCCCGTGTCTTCCCCATCCTCCATTCACAAGTCCAGCTGGACCACAGAGCTCACGTTCCTCAGGCAGCTGCCAGTGTCGGCTGACTCTCAAGGAGCATCGCCACTCACAACTGCCACAAATTGTGTCCCACACCATACGTTGAAGCCCCAACCCCTAGGACTTCAGACTGAGTCATTAAACATAAGATTACTTCCAACGGGGTTCAGTAGCGAAGGCTCTCATTCCGGTACAACCGATGTCCACTGATGAGGGCGTAATCGGGGCACAGACACGCCCACCAGAAGACATCAAGCGGAGAATGGAGCTGTACTGTGTAAGCATAGCAGCTGTGGGAAGTTAGGAGCCTGAGAAGATCCTCCTCAGGGCCTCCAGGGAGCCAGCTTTGCCAAGACCTGGATTCTGGATCGCCAGGCTCCAAAACTGTGAGATAATAAATTTATATGGAGTGGGGGCTGGGGAGATTGCTCAGCGGTGAAGGACACTTGCACACCAAGGTTGGTTCCCAGCATACACAGTGGCTTATGACCATCCATAACTCCAGTTCCAGGGGATTCGACAGCCTCCTGGGGTATTAAAAACACATATGGTGCATATACATATACACACGCCCACAAAACACTCAAACCATAAAATAAAATCTTTTTAAAAAACCTTAAATAACTTAATGATTTTTTTTTCCAAGATAGAGTTTTGCTCTGTTTGGGTTTCAGGCTGGTCTCGAACTCTCAACGTAGGCCAGGTTGGCTCTAGTTGACAGCAACTCTCT